GGTCTTGAAATGGCAAAGCCTACTCTGCCCTTCCTGCTGCATCTCTGTGGTGTTTTTTGTTCCCAGTGCAGACCAAATTTCTGAACCCTCAGCCCCCAGAGGGTATTGTATGCTAGGCTCAAGTGGGTGGCTTTACCCAGCCACTGAACCAGATCTCCAGCCTGATCTAAGTCCCAATTGCCAGGAGAGAAATCTGGTTTTGGTTTGCATTCAGCTGCTTGACTGAGTGAAATATGCAGTGTTTTACCACTACGGTTCCCAGGAACTCACTTAGGGACTCCAGTACACTACCCAAAGAAGGGCATGTGCACCAGGAGAGCAGAGGTCCTTCACATGAGCTAGCAAGAAGGGCTGTTCCAGGACTCATCAGGAGTCAGGCTGCCATTTCCTGCCCACAGATGAGAGTGACCCCACCAGTAAGTGACCCTATGGGACTAGCAGTTGCTCTAGAGCTGGCCAGAGTAAGTACTGCTGGTGTATAGCACCTTGTGGGTCTGTCCACGAATCGCTTCCAGTGGAATTCTGTGGATTTGAGACAGAAGAATGGTGTGGGGGGTGACTTCTTCTAGAACCAAGATTCTTAGGGCCTGGATATAGTTGTCATCTAAGATGTCTCTTATTCCTCCACACCCCTAGGTGGGCAGCTGCCTTATAAATTTCAACTTTGAGATACCCACAAGCCGATGCAAACCTAGGAACCCATGCCTTGCTCAGCCCAAGTGCTCATTATGCTGGTACAGGTTGTGTCCACCTGGCTTCCTTTTCTAGTGTTGTGGCCGTGGGCAAGTGACTCCCCATCTGCAAGTCTCAGAGTTCTCATCCATGAGGCAGGCTAGGAACAGTGCCTACCTAGTAGCACCGTATGGTTAAACACGACAGTGAATGAATACTGCTGAGCACATTGCCTGGCACCTGCCATCCCATCTCCACCCCCACCATCCTCTCCACCACCTCCTCACTAAGCCAGAGCAGCAGTCCATCATCTCACCTGATTACCACCATTATTGTCATTGTCATTGTCTTATGAACCCTGGGGGATAAGCTATGCTATCCGGTTGCTTGCCTACCTCTTCCCTAGCACAAACTTCCCATGAGCCTCTGGCCTGGTATAGCTCAGTTGCACCCTCAGGAAGGGAGTCAGCTCTGAGGATGTGTGCTCAAGTTCATGTTCCTAGAATGATCCTGGGAAAGATGCCATGGCTCTGGGCTGGGGCCCCAGAAGAGAGCCTATGATTTCTGGGGCTCATTGGATGTTACTGTCCACTTGTTCTGCATTTTGTGGCAGTGGGGAGGGGACAGGCTGTCTGGCTCCTGTGGTGGATGATCCTGGCTGCTCCAAGGTTCCTCCCACAGCTCACAAGGAGAGAAGGGGGGTGGGAAAAAAGCCACCGCCATGCTGCCCTTCCACACTTGGGGTTGCCACATGGTTCCAAGGACAGGCTGAGGTGTCCACCCTGTGGGACAATGAGGCCCTTCACGCCATGGTGGAAGCAGACCTTCTCTGTGAACATTTGTGTCTCCATCTCAGCAGCAGGCCAGCATCTCCTCAGGCCATGAGAGCGGTGCCCCCTCTATATGGTTGGGTGGATGTGCTCTTGAAAGCAGCTGAGAAGACAGGGACTCTGAAGTGCTGGGCAGCCCCCGTGCAGAGCACAGGGGAACTGAGAAGTGCCCCGCCTGATCTGAGAAGAGTCTCGGACCTAAGACTTTCTTGGCCGTTTAGCCTCATGGACACGGACACAGCCATGGGAGCTGTGACCCTCAAAGTGGCAACGCTTATGAGGGTAGAATGCTAGCAAGGCACACGCAAATTTAGCGTGGTCCCAGTGCTCAGAGCAGGCCCCATCACATCAGCCCCCCCCCTCACCTCTCAGTTATAAAAGGTCACATCTCCTGGCACAGTTTGGGGTTTCACCTGTACAGAGGAACAGACGGATTCAAATCTTTGTCTATGAGGCTTATACCTGGGATGAGTATATCCTCATTGCTGAACCTCAGTCCCTCCTTTTGGGAAGGATAATATAGTGGTGCTTAGACAAACTCAGTGAGAGTGAGCACGGTGGCCTGATGTGTAGGAGCACTGACAGCCCCCCCCATACCCAATCCCTCACACTGGACTCCTCTGGAAAGGGCCCACCAGACCGGACTTCTCGGAAGAAACTTTGGACAGTCTTCCCTTCCTACCACCCTAGAGCTACATGGAGACCACCTTCAAGAGGATGGCGGACGGAAGGCTGCAACTCCAAATGAGAGACCTGACCAGCAGACAAAGGGACGTATCCTAAGCAACAGGGAGAGCTACAGAGGACAGCACTTCAGAACCTTTGTGGTCAGACCCGGCTCCTAAGAAATTCCTGTCAGTGGTCAGGGAGGACCTAGGAGAGTAGATGTTCAGCAATGGTTGGAACCTGCTTTGCTTGTTGCGCTTGGTGGTTTGGGCTTGGACCATGTGTCAGGAATGGGCAGTGGTGATATCTATCCCTGTTAGCAATTACAGCAGATGCATGGGTCTCATGTAACAGGCACTTAAAGAGGAGGGGCTGATGGACAGGAGGATCCTGGAGCCTCCGACATGGATGACCAACCCTGAACTTAGGCCCCTTCAAGATGGCCATCAGAAGTTCTTACTGGAGGACAGACACCCAGATATGGTGTGATATTCATGGCTGCAACGAGGCTGTTCCTACGCCCCCCACACACTAACATCATTGGCAATAAGCAGCAGCCGCCTAAGGACAGTTGTAGACACCAGAGCACATTTGGACAAGAAGTCTAGACTTTATACAGTTATGTCATTGGCTAGCCATCAGGCCAAGAAGGTAGGTAGAGTCAGAGTATATGCCTCAGGGTCAGGAAAGGATAGAGCAAGGTAGTGCCTGCCCCCTCCCCCAAAATGGCACACACCCCTGGAAAAGTTCCCGATTCAGGAACTGGTGAGAAGCTAGGCCAATTCCACGGGGTGGCCCAAGAACCAGAGCTCTGGATGCCATCAAGTTCCAGAGGCAGTTTCAGGGACACTGGAGCCAGCTCAGAGATGAAGTGCAACAACGGGACCCCGAAGCATCCTGGTGAATAGGTATACTGCATGTACCTGGCCAGATGTGCAAGATTTCTCATCATTGTCTATGTCTCTGTACACTTTCGACATGGACCCTGTGGACAACATGGTGTTTCTGTTAAACAGCTCAGACTCAACACTGGGGAATCTGGAAGAAGAGTGACCAGTCAAAATGCTTATGAAATAGTCCCATGAGACCCAAGAGCTTTCCAAGATGGAGACTCTGTGGGACAAGCT